CTTTTTATATGACTCTGGTTTACATTGAAAACTCTGGGAATGAGCTTGGGTGTAAGAACCAGCTCTGAGATTACTTTCAGTTTCAGTTCTATAGTCAATGTCTTAATATTCCTTTAAGATTGTTCATTTTATTTCTTATTATCTGGGACTGTGTCTTAAAGCTTGGATTGTTTTTCTTAACAACATATGACAAAATATACTTCCTGTTTACGCTGACCCTGATGATTAGCTTTGTTTTGAACATGCAGGGATTCTTCTAGTTCCCATCTGGATCAAGGTGCCATTGTGGTCTCAGTAGGTGGACTTCAAGCCATTTTCTTCAATAAAACTGAACAATAACTCTGTTGATCTCCTCTATGCCTAGACAGCTTGGGAAACTCCCATGGAGGAATAAAGGTAAAAGTTCTCTTCGCTTTTTCTTTTCTATCTCTGACTTTTTACCTTGAGTAACCTTCACTTTCACTTTAGATCTGCTTCTGGTTTCGTCTTGACTCTTTTCCACCAGCTCTGACCATGTGATGCAAACGGCTGCACTCTCTGAGTCTGGATCTGCCACACATTCAACAGCTTTTGCAGTCATAGATTATAAATTAATAATCCAGAGGTGTTGTTTTTTTATGATCTGTTGGACACTTCAACTATGACATCACACCTTCTAATGTCTCACCAACTGCACAGTCAGAAATATGAAACATAGGTGAAAGTTGGTTTAAACTTTTTTCACTTCAAATAAAGATTGTGTTTCTTTGTAAACCACCGATTCTTTACACAAGGGATGTTAAACATACGGCCCGTGGGCCAAAAATGTCTAGTGAATTGTGTTCTGATTGTACTGGTCCGGCCCACTTGTCTTCTAATTAGGCTGTATGTGGCTCCTGAACCACAAATATTTCAAAGGAAAAAAGGAACATTTTTTACATCACAAAAGACAGGAGTTGTGTAATCCTTCAGTTCAGACATGTTATTTTTCAAATGGTGTGCTTGAAATATTGACCTTTGTAAAACTGAACCAAAATTTTGGTCAATTTTTTCTATTGATTTTGGTAGAAAAGTTCAGCGGTATATTCAGTATATCATCATCATTTCATTCAGCGACTCTCCACCTCTTCCTCACGTGAAAAACGAGTGTGTCCCTGCTGGGGCCAATCCTAGCAGCAGCAGATAAGACACTGACATCTTGGCCGACAGCCATAAACCTGGGCAGTGCCGCCGCTGTGGTGCAGCCTGGATGTCGCCATGGTGGCAGTAAAGCTGCTGCCTTGTTGCTGACGGGCCTGTGTATTCACTCAGCTCCGTGGCCAACTCGGCCCCCGGCAGCCATAAAGCAGAGTTGGAACGCAACCTTTGGTCGACGCTGTGGGCTTAAGCAACACGCAGGAGTGGCACACACCCTGCTCACACACACATACGTGCACACACACAAACGCTGCAGCTTATATCAGCATGTGCACATGTATGGTTGCTATACACATTGTAAATAGATGATAACAAGAGCGAGCAGTGCTCAGAGAAGAGGGAAAAACAAAGGACAGCATTCACCAAAAGGGGAATGTAATGTGCTGCTACCATTAATGAATAACAAAGGACAACAGTATTACAAAGAACTATATATACGGTGTGTGTGTCAAAAATGATTAAGTCATGAATGTTTATCCTCAACATCAAAGACATCAAAAGGACATACACCATTTCTAGGAAACGATGAAGATTGACATTTTCATTGGTCCAAGTCTAATAGAAGTCTGGAGATACAGTAGTGCAACGTTGTTGTAGGATCCTATTAGACCAGGGGGGTCAAACTCATTTTCACCGGGGGCCACATTAGCAATACAGTTCCCGTGGAAGGGCCGGATCAAGGGTTCCCAATCCCCGGTCCGCGGACTAAGGGTTCCCAACCCCCGGTCCGCGGACTAGTACAAATTCGTAGGTGGGACACAGTGAAACAATTTACTTAAAAGAAAATCCTGTCATATCCATTTACTTTATTCAAAGATAATCTGGCAATATTTTAAAATATTTCATTCAGACTCTGAAAAAAACAGAGTAGAGTCTAAAATATGTTTTATTTTGAAAATCTAATGGTCTTTCAGTGCTCAGCTCCTTGGTACTGGTCTGTAGTAACAGGTACTGGTTGACCAGTCCTTGGAACAAAAAGGTTGGGGACGGCTGGTATAGATGCAACTACTCCATAACAGACTAAAACATGTTTCTGCAATCAATTATCTGATTGATTATAAAAAAAAATTAATTTCTCAGGTTAAGAAACTCTGCTGCATGGACTTTAATAAATACTTTTTAAGCTCCTGCGGGCCACAGAAAATGGCTTGGCCGGCTGCATTTGGCCCCCGGGCCTTGAGTTTGACATGTATGCATAAGATGATTGCATTATATCTTGGTTTTTCTCTATAGGTCATTTGTTCAACCTTTAAATGACGTGAAACGAGCAACTGATGAAATGTCTAGAACAGTGCCTTATAAGGAAATCTTCAGAGTTCAGTGACGACGGCAACAATACGATTTGTAACATTGGGAAGCAGGCAGGGCCTAAATGCAGCGCTAGAGAAAGAGATCTGGATCAGGTGCAAAAAGTTTGTCCAAAAATCTAAATAGCAGAAAGTCACTGATCACAGGAACAAAAACATGAAGCAGGATCAACCAGAAACACACAGCACAGACAACGATCTAGAACACGAAGCATGAACACCAAACAATGACCTGACAAAACCAGAGCGTGGGAGAGGAAGAGGTATATATACCCAGAACATCAGGTGACACCAATGAGACTGATGAACAGGTGATCACAGCACACAGGTGAGTGGATGACACTGATTGGACAGCAGTCACAAACAGGAGTGAAAAGACACAAACAAACCTCACAGTGGTTTTTCTTTTAAATAAACAGCCTTTTTTTTTATAACTTATTAAAGTTTGACACTTGGTCACCGCTCACTTTACACTTTACAAGTCCATTAAGAAAGTTGAGGTTTTAGCTCATGGACGTACAGTTGCCAATGGTCAATGGTCATACCAACAAACTACGATTTTTAAGATCGCACAGTCTCGACAACATTTGTTAGCTTTTGTAAAATGATCGGGTTTCTCTGAGGGATTCAGGACTGGTTCACGATGTCGTCTTAGCTGCCGTTCTTAGTCGGAAACGAGGTAAAATTATATATTTTCAAGGTGAGAGCGAACGGCAACGAAAACCACACGAAAGCCTTCTCTTGAAAACAACTTTTTCATTTAATCAAAAATATATCAAATGTGAATCACTTTATTCCAAAGAGCATTGAAGAAAAGAGAGGAAGCAAAACAATATCATCACAACAAAATTCCCTTACACGTTTCCAAATACAGATAATAAAATTAAACTGTTATATTTAGAAGGAATTCTCTCTTATTTGGAGAAGAGAAACTGTCTCATTGCACTTTCATTAAAGCCAAATATTTAATAGATAAACCTTTGATATGTCTGATATAATGGCAGATTAAAAACGGCCGCTCCTGATTTTGTAATCCAGAGTCCGGGCTGCGGCTGAAATCTGCTGCGTCTTGCAAAAAAACCCGGCACATCACGTGTATAACAACCTGGATATCATCGCTGGGAGGAGGCCGTAGAGCAAAGCGCACAGAGTCAAGGGTTGTAACGGGTTTTAGTGTTCACTGTGACTTTTAACTGTCCTTATCTCAACATAAATAATGTGTCCATAAAGGTTAATGATCTACACAGTGGTAATGAGACGTGGTACAACAGCAATAAAAAGGTATTTTCTCTTCACTTCACAGGTTTTTCTTTCTGTCAAGACACTGTTTGGTCGTGTTTACAGAATGTTTTTTCATTAAGCTTAAGGTTCACGTGTGGCCACACAGATTCAAGTAGTCTCACGTTGGAAATGCTTCTGGTTTGAATGTGGTTCTGCTCAGCTCTTGGCTAACTGCAGCTTTACATTTGCTATAAGATATGTGATATTTCTAGCCATTTTTTGATAATTTCTGGGGCAATTTTCTCTGGTTACAGGCAACATATACATTACGATATGGACCTCAAAATGGCTGCTGCTGCTTGAAGAGGTCTTCCTGTTCACAGTTATTAGCCTGTTCAATTTTAAGGATTGCCAAGGTTATATAAAAAAAGTTTAAATAAACTTTTGCAAAAGTTATTAGTTGGACTTAAAGCATTGACTAAGATAAAAAGATTGCAAAAGTTATTAGTTGGACTTAAAGTATTGACTAAGATAAAAAGAAAAGATGTCATTTAGAGAAAAATTTTATCTTCAATGAGACCTTGGTGCGACATGAATGTAACTTTTTTTGCCATAAAGTAGCGCTGAATTCATTTGTACAAATTTAAGATTTCCATAGTTTTTTTTAAAAAAAAGACAACATTTTTCCCTGGAGACGTGGCTTCTATTACAAAGAAATAAAAAAAATGGAACTAAAAAGGAAATGCTCTTTTGCAACACTGTACTGATCGGTTTCACATGGTGCATTTACAGTAGCGTTTCTCCATAAATAGAGATCTCTTTAGTCTTAGGTAGTTTTGTTGTTGTTGTTGTTGTTGTTGTTGTTGTTGTTGTTGTTGTTGTTGTTGTTGTTGTTGTTGTTGTTGTTGTTGTTGTTGTTGTTGTTGTTGTTGTTGTTGTTGTTGTTGTTGTTGTTGTTGTTGTTGTTGTTGTTGTTGTTGTTGTTGTTGTTGTTGTTGTTGTTGTTGTTGTTGTTGTTGTTGTTGTTGTTGTTGTTGTTGTCGTTGTGCTGAGAGTGACCTTCAGGTTCAGGAGAGTCAGGGGTTTATAACTGTGTTCTTGGCATTGCTGTCCGTGTACCCTGTGTCCTTGTTAAGTTCAAATATGGTCCAGATGAGCCCCGTCATACGGAGGGGCAAAGCAGACGTCCTTACACACACACACACACACACACACACACGTATCCATCTGACACATTTTCGAGCCTCGTTTGATGCGAGTGAAACACTGTTTCTCTGCAGCTTTTTTTAATGATGATGAGGGAGAGACTGCGGTGAAGAGCGATGAGCCTCGGTGCTGATGCTAAAGCTAGCTGTGGTCTGTCAGTCTTTTGGTTGAGCCTCCTCAGGCTTGAGACAGAGCACACCAGGAGTTCTGAGGGGGCATTGAGCTCGGGGTAAAGGGATAATCTTCGTATTTAATGTCCACATGTACGGATTCTGTGCTGGCAAGTTGAGTGGCCGTATGCATGGGGCAAAAAAAAAAAAAAAAAGGGAGACAAGATGTTTAATATTCAGGGGGATTCAGGAACACATTCAAACAAATAAAAGCAGTTCAGATCTTTTTTTAGTAGCCAATGGTATGGTCATGTGACAATTTGCTGCGACACTGCCTGTACTTTAAGCACTATTTGATTCGTGACAGAAGAATAGCAGCATACTTTACAAGACAGATGTATAAGACAGTAGTGAGACCTGCTATGACAGCGACTTTGCCTAATTGACAAAAGGTTGAGTTGAAGGTGGCAGAGAGGAAGATGATGAGATTTTTCTCTGAGAAAGACTAGGAAGAGACTAATGGATGTAGTGAACAAGGATACGGAGAAGGTTGGGGTCAAGGCAAGGGAGGGAGGAGAGATGGAGGCAGATGAGGTGCCGTGGCCAAAACAACAAGAAGGAGAAGAACATCTGACCCATCAAATCTGACCCTTTATGGCACAGACTCCAGTGGATGTACTGGACATTGAACATCGGAGCCCACAGGCCCGAGTACAAGACCGAGACCCAAAAGAAGATTCATGGATGAAATGATCGATGTCACAGAAGAGCAGCCAAAGGATAGAGACAGAGAGAAAGAGCTGAGAGAAAAAGAAGACGTATATTTCTACTCCCCCTCACACTTTCAGACACAGTGGTTGCTGATGTCAAATCCTGTTAATACCAATCTGCCAAAAGAAAGTTGCAGAACTAGCATTTAAGATGCCAAAAAAAGAAAAAAGAAATTATAATGTTTACATTACTGGCTGTTGGAATCAGAGTTGATAAATCTGCACATCTACTCCACAGTCATTTCCCACTGCAGACAAGATCCAGATGTTAAAGACTACTAGAGCTTCTGACCAGTAAAAAAAAGCCCATAATAAAGGCCGGCTGCAAAAGATCTGGTATAACGTAAGCAACCGATGAGGAGCACAGTGAGAACTGTTTGTGTGTTTGTGTGTTTACCTGACTGGCAGGTGTCACTGTCTGACCAGCGTAGGGTGAAGGAGCCATGTTGGGTTCACTCTTGATGGTGGAGGCGTGTTCAGACACCGACAGAGAACTTGTGGAGTTTGGGTCAGAGACTGTGGATCCTCCTGAGGAATCAGTAGAACACGACAGAACATATGTGAGGAACCTGTCTGCTGTGAACAAGCATATTAAGGCCCCACAGCATTATCTCTGCACCGTATAGTTTATAACACTGCACCGTATAGTTTTTGTTAATGTGGACAGATGTGATCAGCTGCTGCTGCAGACATGAACCCAATATTGTTTGAACTGCAGACCATGCTGCAGCGACTCTGGTAATAAATCACCGTATGTACTCGTAGGAGATAAGATGAAGAAAAAAAAAATCACACTGAACTATTATATAACATGTAAATATTAAATAAAATGTATAATTATATAACATGTAAATATTAAATAAAATTTATAATATATGTGGAGTATATTTGACCACTAGGTGATTTCCCAGCACAAACATACAGGTGTTGAGGTTGAATTATGAGACCACGTTCACATATCAGCGATTCAATTCAATAAATATTTATTTAAAAAAAAACCTATATATTTAAAATGTTTATTCATTAATTAATAGTGTTAAAGTCCATGTTTTGCATCTATATAAATATACTGCTCTATAAATATGTATGTATTTTTAAAAAATTGTCAACTGTACATACATGTATATGATTGTGTCTACATATATGTGTATGTGTGCATCTGTGCCATACAGCCACATACATTCAATCAGTACCTCAACATATAATGTATATATAAAGTATTTTCAGTTTCTATGAGTAAATATATATTTAACGTGTTTTAATGGTCAGTCTGGTCAATTATATAGTAGCTGGGCCCTCTGTAAATCTTCATAAATAACATAGAAATAATATGAAAACGCCTGTTATAAAGGTGGCCTGTTATAAAGGTGGCCTGTTATAAAGGTGGCCTGTTATAAAGGTGGCCTGTTATAAAGGTGGCCAGGACAGTGCTTGTATATTTGTCTTGTACATTTTCGTTCTACCTGTGGATGTTTTATTCTTGGCCATCTTGGGTTTGCGCTTCCTGGTCTGAATGCTTTCTTTCTTCATAGCCAATGGTCTGGGCACCTGGAGAGAGCATCACACATTATCACACCAAACCTCCCTGTTGGTAACAGAACACAGGCCTCACTGTGTAGCCTCCACCTCCCACTCTGGTGTACTCGTCAGTACTGCAGCGGTGCTAAGACGTGTGTGTGACACCTACCCCATGCAGCTTCATGTAGAGACCACAGGCATTACACACAGGCTCCCCCTCGGCGTTACGCCTCCACAGTGTGGTGGTGCTGGTGTGGCAGTTGGTGCAGCACAGGCCGGCTCTGCGGGGCGTGGTCTGCTGCAGTGACCGAGAAAGGTAAGTCCAGTTAGAAGCATTTTGGAACATTCACTAAAGGCCCAGTCTTTGAAATCAAAGAAGACCTGTCCTTCGTCAACTACTTGTGGTTGGTATAGTCTGTTTTCTTTACCAGTTCAATACAAGTTGAAATTACAGAACTGCTGATGTGACACATTAATAAACTTGTCTGGAGTGTGGTGCTGGTATTTATATAAAAATGTGTCCATGTTTTATAAACTAAAAAGAAAACCATCTTTGCTGAAATAACGCTTCACATTTTAGGAAAGCACACACAGCCCACCTATTAAAAAATGTATTTTGTGTTCACATAAAGTCTGTTGAACAGGCCTCTGAGAGACAAACACACACTGGGAAAAAGCCTGTTCAAGGCCAAGGTCCCTGCAGGACAAACATAAAGGTGGCCTGTTATAAAGGTACACTCACACACACACAGAGAGAGAGAGAGAGAGAGACAATGCTGCTAGGGCTACAAAAGTTGCACGGAAAGGTTCTTAATAAAATCATTTTCCTTAATAAAAATACACACTGCATTATTATTATTATTATTATTGGCTTTGAACGTTAGAAATAGTGGCATTAAATTTGCATTTTGAAAAAAGGGGGGAAATGTTTCTACAAAAATAAATTGGTACAGAATTCCTTTTTTCATTTCTTTCATTTTATCAAAATAACGTCAGGAATCTGCGTTGATTGGCTGAGCTTTTAATTTATCTTGATGATGAAATCATTTTAATTAAATAAAGAGACTAGACCTCATTCAGATAAGGACGGTGAATGTGTCATCATAGCAGCCCTTTAATCAGTCCTGACTTGATCTGAGTCATGTGACCAGAGGGTGTTAATATCAGCTCAAAGGCTGTCTGACACGTGATTCTGGATTGACCTTTCTCTTCCATTCACTTCTTTTCAAAGCAAAGACAAAGGAACGAGTCGAGATGTATATTTCACACAGATCACATGATCACGTGTATATTTGTTGTCGTTACCAGTCGTTTCTGCGGTTTGATCAGCGGCCTATTGATGCCGTTCATCTTGTGGTAAAGTCCGCACGCGTTGCACAGATAGTGTCCTGTTCCGTCCCTGCGCCACAGCGGCGTGGACACCGAGCCGCAGTTGACGCACTCTCTGCCCTCACACTGCATGTCCTCCATCAGATCTGCACACACACACAACAAAAGATATCGAATTATATTATATTATATTATATTATATTATATTATATTATATTATATTATATTATATTGTATTATATTATATTATTATACGAAGGCCATTTCTGAATATTTTCCCGTTTTGTTCCTAATAAACTAAACTTTTAAATCTAAACTTTTTTTATTGAGAAAAAATACACTTTTTTCCCTCAGTGATTGTGTTTTTTTATTTAAGAACCCAGCACGTGTTGGCCACTTCAGCGTTTTTAATTAACACCTAGAAATACGTCACGTGTGAAGGAAAAAAACCCCAAAGACTATAATAACTGTCAAAGAAGAAATATATTCACCTATTTAGCAAAGATGCTATGTTTATTCTCATTATTTTCCCAATCAGACGACTTTTAAAAAGCACAACCTTTCCAAACAGCAGGGATGGACAAAGATAGAATTTATCGACTAAGTAATTGTGAGCCATGTCTAATACATTTAAACTTCTTTTTATTTTCAAAATGTCTATTTTAAGCAGGATGTCGCACCAGGACAGGACTCGAACCACTGTCAATGTCTTCTCTTCTCTCTATTTGATTCAAGTGAATTCAACGAAAAGAAGGGCAGACATCGACTCCCCCAAAAGACTGAAGTGTGGAGACAGAGACTGTGATGGAGAGGAGGGGCTGAGTGTGTGTTATCAGCTCTAAGGATCCAGGGGTCCCCAGCAGACCCCCCCCCCCCCCCACCACATCCATCAAGGTCTGACACACGACGGACTCCTGGCATTAATTGCCCACATTCCTAATCCTTTGATTACGAGATGAGAGACAATAAATCCGCCCTGATTGTGAAGAAAAAACAACAACAATTATTGTGTTTCATTCGAAGATTGATTAACCAAAAAGAATAATTTGGATAATTTAATTGGAAAAGGTGTTAAATGTGGTATTACATTTAACTACCTCACAGTCAGGTGACAAACTTTCTGTAAAGATAGTGACGTTTTAAAATATGTATTTACCTACTCTGGTCACCTTTATCTACTTTTTCTATTTTTTTCATGTTTTAACTGCGTTTTGGCAGTTATTTATCAGTTATTTACCGTTTAATGTATTTTATTTATTCGAACTAGTGACTGTTTTCATTCACCGTCTTGTTGATAGAATACCTTCACACTACAACCGAATTTGAACGTCACAAAGTCTGAATTGTTTACTGAAAGCTTATACACATTTAACAAAAACATCTATAGTTATCCTTTTTTTGTTATTTTATGAAAACCCTAGTTAGTCCGCTTTATGGTTTTTATTTACATACTTTTAGTTACTTTTTGGGTTCATTTCCGTAACGGATAATCTTAGCTTATTTGTGCAAAAAAAATAAATGAGAATATCATTTTCTTATCAACTTATTAACAACTACAGTATGTTTAATTAAATCTACTTTGTATTTTTGTCCCTCTTCTTTGTTTATTCGTAATTTTCCGAATTATTTTGTTAACCTTTAGCTCATTCTTTTGCTTTTAAGCTTCCCGGCTAATATCTAGAAAGTTCGTTGACGACTTAAGATAACAGTCAATGCATCTCTATGTCTTCTTCCTTCTGTGGAATTGACTCTTTAATCAGACCAAGAGACGATAGGATTACACTGTCCCGACTGTGGAGGTGTCACACCAGCAGACATGATGTTCTGGACTCTTCATGGTGGACTTCACACAGCTAACGAACCGCTGGCTAACGAACCGCTGCTGCTGCTGCTACTGCTGCTGCTGCTGCTGCTGCTGCTGCTGCTGCTGCTGCTGCTGCTGCTGCTGCTGCTGCAGGTCGAGCCGTGCAGGCCCCGAGTGTCTGATCCAGGTGAGAAGTGTCAACCATTGTTGTGTGGATGACGCTTTTCACACTGCACATCTCTGTGTGTGTCATCTGTGTGTATTCGAGCGAGTCATTAAATCAACGGCAGGATTAAATTAACTCCTTTAAATGATGGATTTTAAACGAATGTGGATTGTTTAAAGGTAACGGGAGACCCAGCCTTTCAAGTCCTAACAACCACCCAGCAGGGTCAAATAATTAACCACACAAATGTGATTAAAATCAACAACAATGACAAGAAACAACAACCACTGAATACACAGGTTTTAAGGGCTTTTCTGTAGAGAAATTGTAACAAAAGAACGATTTGCTGCGCCCGAGACAACCGATATTATTATTATTAATGTTAATATTAATAGCCTTTTAAAACTTGTTTTACTAAAGTCCTGCCCATTTTTTTCTTGCCATTTGTTTTAAAGAAATACAAATACAAACAACTAGTTATTATGTATTATAAAAAACAGCTGGATTTTTTTATATTTTTATATTATTTAGTCTGCCCCCTTAAAATATACTGACTAACAATAACATACATTTTTTGTAAAATAAAAGTGATTAATTGATACAAAAATATTTTCCACTTCAGTTAAGAAGGGAAAAATTATAATTAAAAATGATAAATATCAAATATCTATGAGCATATCATTTGAAACTGTGAGTTGAAGCCTATTTTTAACAAACAGACAGGTCAATAATTATCATGGGTTCATTTGTGTAACAATTCGTTTTTAACATATATCTTATATTTTTGCTGTTTTGTTAGAATTAAAAAAAAAACTAAAACAAAGAGCAATTAACAACAACATCGAACTATTTTCAACATAATAAATAAAAATAAAATATTGTGTCACTCACCCAGACTGGACCTCCTCCCGGCCAAGCATCCTTGTCGGCCCTGCAGACTGATCACCCCGCTCTCAAACGGTCCGGGTGTCCAGGAGGACGTCGCCATCTCCGGACTCACATAGGCGTAAGGACTGGAGTAGGACCCACCGACAGGACGCACCAGAGCGCCGCCGTACTGATCCGTCCGTGCCCCGTTCCCTAGAACCAGCGGGCTCTGGTAGGTGGACCCGGGATCCCGGCCCGTGTTGGTGCTGACGGGCGGGCTGTGGGAGTAGGACAAGCCGTGGTGAGGGTGAGGGCTGCTGGGCGTAAAGGACGAGACATCCGTGCCGGTCTGGGACCATCCGTGGTGCCCGCTGAGGCTGTGGTGGTGGGACTGGTGCGGGGAGTCGCAGCTCTGCAGGTAGGGCAGAGTGGGCAGCATGGCCGAGACCCGGGTGGAGGGGACGTAGACGGGCGAGCTGGCTGAAGGGTGGATGTAGTTCCCGGTGTCATGTGGGTAAGGGGACTGGTTTGAGGACAAGGTCAAACTTTGGTACATGATGAGATCGGGTTTTAAACGATTTCAAATATGAAGGTCCAGTGGATTTGATGCGGATCCAAGACCACTCTCCCAAGCAGGGTGTCTGACCTGACCCAAAACTTTCCTCTGTGAAGAAAAATAAATCAGAAATTCAAACAGTTGTAGACCATAAACCATGATGATGTTTATAGTTTATATTAAGTCAAATGTGATATAAAATGTAACAACAGGACCCCTCCTCAGTATCCATCATCACCATGACATTATATTGATTAAAACCACATTAACCACGGCCGCTATCGCAGATATCACACAGAAACAACCGCCTCAGATGAGATATCCTGAGGCTGCCTCATTAAATCATAACCAGAACGGAAACCAAATCAAACAGCACAACAGATAATGCCCTCGTTTCTGTCAATAGTAAGTCAAAACGCATAAAAGCTGGATGATAAAACAACAGCTTCTCCCCAAGGCCTCTCTCTCTGTCCCCTTCTCTCTCAGTGCCATTATCTCACCAGATAAGAACGGTGCGGCGATAACACGATCCGGTCCTTGAGTCGTCCACAGCAGCGCAGTGCGCACTCACTCCTGGTGCGGCACAGGCAGGAGCGCAGCCTCTCCAAAGCTCTCCGGAACTTTGTGCGTAAAAGTCTACGGCTGCAAGAAATGTGGACGTGGAAATCAAGGGAATAGTTTTTCTGCTTCTGGGATGAAGAAGGAAAAACAGCAGCGTCTTCTTCTTCGTCGTCGTCGTCGGTTCCTTCTTCCTGTCCGTATATCTGGAGATAGGTAGTGTCGCTGATAATTGCTGATATGCTTCACTTCTCTCCTCTACTAGAAATTTTGTACAGGACGCAGAGGAACACGTGACCCGCAGTCCGCTCCTCTGAGGTAGGACCAAGTGGGGGAGAGAAGGAGGGAGGAAAACAAGGGTGGAGGGAAGGGGAGGGAGGAAAGGAAGGAGGGCGCCAGGGTAATGCGGAGGAAAGTGGGAGGAAGGGGAACCGAGGGCCAGAAATGAGAATTAAAAAAAAAAAGAAAAAAGAATCCGAATAAACAAGAAAAAAATATTAGCAAAAGAAAAACAAATATATAAATTTGAAATATATTTCGGGAAAACTCGAAAGGGAATATAAAAGCATTTTATTTAAAAATAAATAAATAAAACCGAGTATTATAAAAATTTAAATTAAAAAAAGATGTAGAAACTAAATGGAAAACAATAAATTATTTCATTTTTTTACTACTCTCGGGGTTTGTAAACGTACATATATGTAATGTCTGTGTGTGTGTGTGTGTATTTAAATAAATTATTGTATCTTTGCAAAATGTCCATAAAATTAGTCTAAATCCATTTCCCAGGTTTCCCTGCGTCTTTTATGGCCGTCATCGTGAGTTTAATGGCGCATAACTTTCCGCCTAATTTGCTTTAGTTTTAGTTTTACAACACTGTAAAATGTGCGCGTTTCTCTATTTTCTTCAAACAACAAATCATAAAATCGGACATCATAAAAAAGGATAAAACCCTCAAATTAAATAATTTTAAAACCTTATAACCTTTTAGACACATATATAATTAGCTTCTATTATTAGAGCAAAAGTGAGAAATGCGACTATGTGGTTTATAATAAAAACAATTACTTTTATTGTTATTATTATTATTACAAGTCACTGTCATTATGATAAACAACAAAAACAAATAATATATAATGACACAGACCATTTATCATTATATATATATATATACTTATATATTTATAATGTTTATATATTTTTAATGTTTAAATAAATACGATATTTTATTCAACAATCCCATTGTATTGAAAAAAAATCGAAATCGTATTTTTTTCAATACCTGGATTGAATGACAAATAATAATTCGATTGGAATCCTTTTAATTATTTCACAGAACGAATCGCGTTTTAATGTTCTCATTTTTTTAAAGCTAAGTGAGGTTTTGAATTAGAGCTGGAGACTCGACAGTTAATATAAAATAACCAATAAATAAAAACCATTCAAAAAAAATGTAACTTTTAAAATAAAACAAAATGGTTTATTGCGTTTTATCAGGGTTGGATGAATAGATGCATTTTTTAATTTGTAAAATTAAAGGTGAAGTTAGTGAACTTGGAAATATAGTCATTGATTCGTCATTATCATCATCATCTGCAGCAGCAGCATCAGTAGCAGTGGCTGTGATAAAATGTTCTCCCCCCTTGTCTCACCCCTCCATCCTAATCACCTATTGGTTATTATCTCACAATTCTCATTCATAACCCATTTTTAGTAATTATTCCTTCATTTATGTTCACATTATTATCACCTGCTGTAGCTCAGATTAAATCTGTGAATCATCACCCGAACTCAAACACTGGCTGTCGTTGTTTTATCAGTGTTTATAAGCAGAAATGTAAACGGCGATCTCCTCGGAAGAAGCCATCAAAGCAGAACAAGACAGGCTGAGATAAAGCACTACAGTACATATATATTTTTAGACAACAGAGATTTAGTTTTATAGGTGAGTTTGTAGCACTGTCGCTTGAATATCTGATCCACCTGCATTTGGAGTTGTACATACTGCAAATAGAAGGCTTTTACAGCCACAAGGTATTTCAACTGTACTTCCTAGATAGTATACAGAAAAAGTACGCAGAACAGACTTATATGTCCCTATGGATCAATACTATATATGGCATTAAAAAACCACCTAATAGCATGTTATTGAACTATTTTAAATTTTCAAATAATCTAATCAAACAACTTTGCAGTGAAGTTGTCTTTCAGCAAGAGGTTGTGGCTGCAATTCCAGATATTTGAAGTCTAAAAACCATTTGCTGCCGAAGGATGTTAAAAACCTGTCATAAAAGTTGGTTAGAACGACAAGATTTACCATTAAGAGTCGGCAATTGTGTTCCACAGGTCCAATACATTTCTGAAAATCTATTTATTTATATATTTGTATTCATTTAAATAAGACCTGGGGGCAGTTCATCTCTGAGACATGGTAATTAATTTTTACTAAGAAGAAAATTTAAAATAAAATAACTCTTAACTGCATTTTAGCATCTTCCCTTCACACATTCCACTCTGTTTGCACCACAGGCCTCAACCTCCATCCTTCATCCGTCCACACAGGACAGCTTAGCACTCAGTGTAATTCTTGTCTCTCACTATGTGAGTCAGATAGCGAGCTTATGAACGAGGTGATTGGTGAAGTCCCGCGTCCCCACAGTCTCATTTTCTCAGTCCATCATGCTACCCCGCACGGCCGTACATTTGTTTCGTGGCCTGTGGCTCTGTTACAGCCCCCCCTCGACCCCCCTCCCCTCCGGTCAGTCCGTGGTTATGTCAATAGAAAAACGAGAACTGCCCTCGCAGGCGGGGGAATCTGCTGTTTATGTCAGTTTTTGGTAATGTTTCTGTGGACTAACTGATATGAGAACCGTCCAAAGGGGAGGCAGCGTCTCAACAAATACCTTTTCACTTTGATCACCCGCTAATGTGACGCCACTGTCCTTTGGAGCTGCATTATTTGCACTGCAATGGAATTCCAGCCTCTATCTTCATGTTACATACACATGCCTGTCAGATAAGTCAGGTATTTTCCAGAGGTATTTATTGTGGAGGAGAGAAGGAGCTAACTTTGAGCATCTGTCAGACGTCTCTTAGTGTTTTTCTCTTAATTTCCCATCAGCGGTGCAAATTGATGCCATGATTGCTGCAGATAAGATTCGGCCACTTTTCATTCATCACACAGAAAAGGGGTTATCACACTCCGACCAATCCAGAGCCATAAGGAGCAGTTAGAGAAGACATGTTGAAACAGAGCTGAGAGAGAGCTAATGGTGGTAAAAGAGGAGGAGGAGGAGGAAGAGGAGGAAGAGGCCACTGAGGAGCTCAGGTCCAGGCTGGAGTGATGCTCAGACACCAGCAGTGAGCCAAGATGGATGAGATTTTGAACATGGACAATTTTACGTCATGTATAGTTTATAAAGGACAGTAAGGCAAAATGTGTTTGTTTTGTGTTAAATCATGAAACTTGTGTCATTGAAATGTTTCTAACACGGCCCTGCATTCATCAATTAATTGCAAACCATGGTGGTAAAAGAGGAGGAGGAGGAGGAAATTACCCCCCCAAAAATGCAGCAAAGCTTAATGTTAACTACAAAGTTATATTTTAGTTATCTGGGTGAAAACTAAATGCCAAAAAATATTGAGAAGAAGCAGGAAATGTAAACTGAAAATGTTTTTGTCGGTAGAAGCAGGTCAGCTTCTACAGAAATTGGTCATCAATGAGGACAATTTTGAGCCGAGAAGAAATGAAAAAGTAGAATACAATGTAGTACAATTGTTAAAAAGTTATAAATAAATAATAAGATAAAGAAAAAATAGATAGCTTAGTTTTAATATGTTATGACAGATGAATGAAAAAACTGAGTAGACATTTAGTTAAAATACATTAGTTCAATAGTTATTTATTTGTCAGATTTATATTTCTTCTGTTCTTCCATATATTTGTCAGTGATCTGAGGCTTCTTGGTAAATGAATCATTGTTTTCTATCCCAGGTCTTTCCCAGACTGCTGCAGCCTGGTGGAGCCGTGCAGGGTGGCCCTGCCTCATTGCGTCATGCTCCTCATCTACAAGTGCTGTGCTCAGATCTTTACAAAGAATAACATGGAACTGTTCCCTTTTTGTTGCAACTCGGCCACAGTGGTGTTTCTCCATGGAACACACCAGGGTACGTGGGGAGCAGATGGAGGGGAAGCAGGGATTTAGACAACTGGAACACACCCCTGGTGCTCTGTTTGCCTGGGAATGTGAAGTAGGAGTCAGGCTAATCTCCAGCACCCATGAGAGACTGGCTCCTGTCTGCCTGGCTGCCACTTCCCTATCTGTGTGTTTCATTTCAGTCTGTGTCAGGCTGTATCTGGGCTGCTGCTGCTGCTGCTGCTGCTGCTGCTGCTGCTGCTGCTGCTGCTGCTGCTGCTGCTGCTGCTGCTGCTGGGTTTAGACTCTGGGACATCAGCAACAGGCCAGAAGAGTTAATGTATACACAACACTAGCTTGCTTTAGTTAGATGAGTGTTTATGAAGCCAAAGGACAGCGTAAGTACGAGGAGTTTTTATTAGTGATACGCAATCAATTATGAAAAACACAGACCACAGGGTCACAGAAAACAGGCTTTAAATCCCAAATGTACCAGAGAATTTTTGATATGAATGAATTTTAAAATATGAAGAAGCAACTTTCATTAATAGTAGAGACTTGTTAATTTTTGCTCAACTTTCACGGTGTCATGGTTATGACAAATTAAAGCAGGAAGTGAAAAAATAAAAATAAAAAAAATCACAAAGAAAATACAAACAATGTATTAATTGTTGGAATTTTGTAAATATATCTAGCAAAAATAAAGATGTACAAGCTATGACATTCACTTTATGGACAGTTATATTAGTGATTTGGAGTCATGTACTCAATGGCGCCTCCTGTGGCAGCCTCTGCTGGTTGCGAAACTCGGTAAATTTTCTCATTGTGGGAAAAATAACTCACTCAAATTTTCTTCTTCTTCTTTTTCTTCTTATTAAAAACACCACACACAGTTATTGACAACTGTATTGTTCCAACTGAAATCATTATAACTCCAATAATTCAGTGGTTCCTGACTTCCTCACTTATTACTTTACTTCATCTTTTTCAGATGGAGACTTACACTATAATACAATAAAAGCATGATGAAATGCTAAATTGACTGTGAAACAACCCCCCCCCCACAGTCTCATAAAAAGCCAGTTTACACCCTTCATTTACCCGTGCTTTAACTGCACATTAACTAACCAGCTGTCGCTCATGCTGCTGAAAGTGTGTGTTTTTGGATTCTTCGTTTTGTTGTGTGAATCATACTGTCCACTCAAAGGTCAAGCAGCTGAAAATGAGGCCTCGGGAGACAGAGGGAGGAGTCGGTCAGTACTGATCATGAGGGTCTGTTTACCAGAAGTTATTGATTGGTACTGATGTGTAACCACAGGAGCATGTCATCACTTGCCTACCAATGCTGGTGGCACAATAACACCTGAAGACAGCTACAGTTCATTTGACCCACAATGTCAAAGATCCGGCCCATGTTCTCAAGTCTGGCCCACCTGTAGGTCTCATCTTTGTTCACAGGTATATTTTACCAAACCAGCGCTGAATCTTTTATCTATTACTCTATCTTTCTCTGCGTATCTAATCATTTCAACGCATTACCCAGCATGCATTTGTGGAGTTTGTTGAAACTTCACTCTGTCAATATATAGATTGTGTCTGTGTATTTTTATGAACGCTGATTTATCTCTATCTAATCAAGCTTTATTAATTTATTATATATATAATTACAAATAATCCTGATTAATCGTGATTAATCCACAACTGTCCTGTGATCAATCAGAATAAACATCGAATCTCTTGACAACCATAATATATATTTTATATATAGTTTTACACATAGGGAATATTAAACATATATTTTAACTCAAAAGGGAATATTTATATATATTTTATTAAATATTCAGACAATGGATCAGGGATTCTTTTTATTGGCTCTGACACTTTCAGTACAAAAAAAATACTTTACCACTATGT